TTTGGGACCCCCTGTGTCGTGTCGTCGAGCGCTGTCCGGCCGCGTCGAGGGTGGCGGCAGGCCTATCGCCCTCGTTAAGCGTTCTATGGCCACCGAGCCGCGACGATTCGACGGCCGCTGGCGGGTTAACTGTTCATTGGCACGCCCTGACCCATGACTGTTGCAGCCATTGAGCCATTCCAGAACCAAGTTTGCCATCGATTGTCAATCTTTCCCAACCCGGAACAGGTCGCGCCTGGGAATGCTGGCTCGTTTTCTGACTGATGTCTGTTGCGGTATGGAATGCGGGCCGGCGGTGATACTTACTGCCCTGTCACTGGTGCATTGGGATCTTCCTCAGGATAATCACTTGAAAGAGCAGGTGCCGATGCAATGATAATGGTAAATGCAGATGGTCGTTTCGCTGTTATTTAGTCAGAGCTTTAGTTTTTACCGTCACGGTGCTTAACTATATATTGGCTGATCTAGTATCGAATTATTAACACGCACAGTGGAAGGGTTGCGAGTACTACGTCCAGTGGAAGGGGGGGGGGGGGCGGATGTCGCCCCCCCCTAAGATCTCAGCTCCCACTAGAGCTAGAAAGACGAAATTTGGAGGGTAGGTGGGGGCCATGGGGAACTCTGTTGTGTGTGAATTTCATGACCCTAGGTCAATATCTTCAAGGTCAAATGAGGTCAAATGTGGTCAAATCTGCCATATTAGCGACTTTTTTGCGTTTACACGCCGATAACTCAAAAAGTTACCGGCCGATTTTCTTTTTTCTTTCACTATACGAAAGAACAAACATTTGTGAGTATGTATGGTGAATTTCTAGATAATCCAACAATAAATATGGCAGTTAGAAGCCTGCTAAGGGTAAGATGTCGCCGGCTGAAGCGGGATCGGCCGACGCGGGAAACGCGGCAATCACAATTTTGTGTTTACACACTCATAACTCAAATTGTTACCGGCCGATTTTCAAAATTCTTTGACCATATGATTGCCTGTACATTTCTCAGTCTTCTCACCGAATTTGACGCGAATCTAATATAATCAGCGGTAAGGAGCGCGATGTAAAGACGAAACCGTCCCGCCCCGGCACAGTCTACAATTCAGGCGGCGCGTAACGGCTAGCGCCGGCCGCCGCGCCGCCGCGCCGCCGCGGCGGCAGAATGTTTGACTTTACACCGCTATTACTAGAAAAGTTGTGAACCGATTTCCTTATTTCTTGCACGAGAAGATCCGCAATTCAATTCTGGGCAGGTAGCCGAAATTTCACATTAACCCGCGCCCTGCTGGGGGTCCTGGATTTCCACGCCCTGCTGGGGGGGGGGGTGTTTGAACACCCCCCCTTGTAACTCAGCTCCTGGGCCACGTAGCGATACGCAGAAGGCGGCGTTCGAAAGAGCGTAAAAAATAATGACGAAATCACTTCGGTCAATTTTTTGGTCAGGTCAAAGGTCAGGTCACCAGAGGTCATTGAAGGCAAAATTTCGCCGATTTCCAGGTCGAATGTCGAAAATTTCCAAGAAGCCAACGCATAACTCGGGAACCAATAGAGCTACAGCGCCGCGGAAAAGCGCATTCGATAGCCCTATTAACGCCCTTTCTGAGTAATTCTCTCAGATTTGACCTAACGTCAACGGTTTTGCCTGCAGGGGGCAAAAACTGCAAAAATAGCCGATTTTTTCGAAAACAGTTTTTCTGCAATAACTTTTGACCCAAGCCTTGTACGAGTTTACTTTTACCGGCATCGTGTTCCTCTCGTCAAGACGCATCGAATGAACTATGACTTGACTTTGAAAGGTCAACTTGAAAATTTGACCTCAGGTCAAGGTCATGACCTGACCGGAAAGGGTCATGTTGCATATCAGTCGATCCGTATCGTCGAGCTGAACACATCTAAGGCGTTTTCATCGCTCTAGCGTGCCTCTATCAAAAGTTATTTGCGAAAAACTGTTAGATACCATTCGTGACCTAAGATGACCTCAGGGCATAAACAAGGGTCACGGACACCATTTTCAAGTTCAGTGTGTCTAAACCACTTGTAATTCGGTGTTTGGGAGTGTTTATAATGTCTTTCATCCAAAAGAGGCGCATTTCAATTTTCTCCCATTGACTTATAATGGGGAGGTCGCAAAATTGACCTGACCTTAGGTCATCGATATCAAAATTCTGAGATATACATTTTGTACATGCTATTGCTCTTAGCAATCGCTGAAAGTTTCAAAGCGATCGGTCACTCGGTGTAGCTATGACAGACATTGAAAGTTTTTATGAGGTGAGGTCACTTCAAGTGACCTGGTGACCTGACCTTGAATGACCTTGGTCTGAAATTTTCACAACATGTGTAGAATTGATGTATGATAAGGTGTACCAAAAACGGCGGCGCTCCGCGCCGCCGTTTTTGAGATTTTCGCGAAAAACCACAAGGGGGGGTGTTCAAACACCCCCCCCCCCAGCAGGGCGCGGGTTAATATTATGTCTGCGGCGCGAGTTATTGGCGAAAAACAGGAGGGGTGGGCGAAATCCGCCCCCCCCCCTTCCACTGCGCGTGTTAACCCGCGACCTGGTGGGGGGGGGGGCTATTTTTTGCCCCCCCCCCCCTCCAGACTTTTCGAGATATCTCCAGAACCGCTGCGCCGATCGTCACCAAACTTTCAGTACCCTCCCGGACATCAATTTTACACATTGTGACCAAAAATTTTTCCAAAGGCTATGATAGGTTGGCCGGAAATGACGTCAGAGTGACGTCATGTTCTGCCGTTTTCGACCCAAAAAAAGGGTTTCGCGGGAAGAGCTGTCAGGCCTATAGCTTTGCAAATACAGAAAAATGATAAAGACATAAAAGTTGTAGAATCAACAGGGCTACAAAACTGCTATCTCGGATTTTTGAAATTTTTGGATTTTGACCCCCAAAAATCAAAAAATAATTTGTTTTGGGATATAATAATCGAAAAATCCAAAAAGTTTTTTTGAATTTCGCAAAAACCGGAATATATGTGATAGTCCTTACCGCCTTCCATCCACATACCAAATTTGAGATTGATACCTCTTTTTTTGGCGAAGTTATAGCGAAAAAACTGTTCAAAATTGATGACGTCAAATTTTCAAACTCAATTTTTTGCAATTCTAGACCCCGTAGCTCAAAACAAAGACCACCATTAGACTCCCCGTGACGAGCTGCATCGAATCAATACCCATTTTATGCAAAACTATCAAATTTAAAATTTGACCTTTTTTGGCCTGACCTTGACCTGACCTTGACCTGAACTTCACCAGAAAGTGACCTAAGCCGTACCTGATAGTCTTGTAACCAGCACCATTGAGTTGGAAATGAAAAATTGGTCATAAAACATGCATCACACAACCTTTGTAAAGTTGGGCTCATGTGACCTGACCTGTGACCCTTGGTGACCTGACCTGTGACCTGACCTGGTATTGTCAGTGACCTCTAATAGCAACATATCTACTAGGCAACTGACGCCCTATCGCTGATTCTCGACAAAATGCGTTTTCCTCGGTGTTATAGCGCATTCCCTAGAAGACCCGTGAACGGTAAAACATTTCATCTTTGACCTGACCTGTGACGTCATCGGTGACCCCGAGGTCAATAAAATTTGATTTCCCTGGACAAATTTGACAGGCCTTTCGAACGCCGTTTGAATTGTGCGGATCCGTCCAGTAGTTTCGGAGATACGAGGGGGGGGGGCAAAAAATAGCCCCCCCCCCCCCACCACCACCAGGTCGCGTTATAAACAGACCCCACCAGGGCGCGGGTTAATACCTAAACTTGCTGTTTATGGCCATTAATCTTTCCTTGGTTTGTGTGAAGAATTTGTACAGCTAGAATCCCATAGACCATGGACACCAGTTACCAGCTCTCCGCAGAATAATTCTCCGCCGGTCCGATGTTTCTGCCGGTGCGACGGACGCGCGCGCCGGCCGCTCGGCCCGACGTCGTCTCTGTTTATCTCGGCCTGTCTCCGTCCGGACTGCCTTCCGCCCCCTCCCGTCCGCCCCCCCCCTGATAGCGTCCTCGCTCGGCGCTGGAGCTCGCACACGACCTCGACAAACTCTCCTGCGTGTGACGCCGCTGGTCCGCAGCGGACCCCGATCGGCGCAGCAGGCGCGCCCTGTTTGTCGCCGAACAAAGTTGTCGCCGTCGTGGACCGGCGGCGGCTGATTCGCCGCCGCCGAGGCTAACTTCGGCGGGCGGCGATTGATAATCAGGGTACAGATTGCCGCTAGACTGTGCTGGTGCGTGCAGCGACCCACAGCGGCCGGCTCTCTAGTTTGCCGCTGCGTGTGCCGTGGCTCTGCAGCCTGCCGCTTGACGTTGCTGCGCGCCGCTCGGCGCCGGCGGCGTTGTTTTCGCCGCCGGTTCCGGACGGCGGGATCAGCGCGGCCGCTGTGCGTCGCCCCCGGCTCTGTTCGGCAGCAATTTGTATTCATGAGCGCCACTAGGTGACCCGGGTTAACGCTTCATTCATCCCGGTCGGGAAATGAATGTTTTTGTCGTTTGAACTGGCGGCGCGACCGGCGTGGGTCGCTGATAAGGCAAAGCCCGGCTGGCGCGCACCCGAATTGAGAGCAGTGGTGGTCGAACGCGTCTGAGGCTGACTCGACTTTGACTGATTTCAGGTGTAGACCAGTCCATTTACCTAAAGACTTTGGGGACGTTTGACATATTTTTAGATTGATCACAATTGTTCTCTTGGCAGGGTGTGCGTGTTCTTCGTAGTTTTAGCATTGTCCGGGTTGTTCAGAAGATATTTATTACATTTCAGGACTAGATTGTTTCGCTCTCAGATTGCCTTTCTTTCTGTGTAATTTTCTGATAACCTCGACGACACGAAACGGGCTATTTCCGATAGGGCTAACTTTGATTTGCGATGTCATTCTTTCTGCCGTTGATTGTCTTTCATTGAGGAGCCCGCTACCAAGTTTGCCGCTGTCTTGACTGGGGATCGCCGCTCGAGACTCGATTTAACGTTTTCCGACGCCAGAAGACTGAGTCTTTCGCCAAAGACTTTAATTGCTTTTATTGGAAAAGTTTGCCATTTAAGGTTACACATAGTCGATCATCGCGTCTGGCCCGGTACAGGTGACCCGATCAGTGGCTCCGGAGGACCGCCGCGCCAGCTCGGACGGTCGGGGCACGCTGGCCGGCACCGCGCTCTTGTTTGTACCGCCGCCAGGAGCGAGCTTCGGCACCACAGGTCGGCGAGCGGCGGGTCACGGCGCAGCCGCCTCCCGTCGCGGCGCACACACCTCCCACAGACGCGTCACATCTCTGTACTCGGCGCTACGTCCAGCCGCTCGCGCCACGGCGACACTCTGAAGTCCGCGCTGCCCGGGCCCGGTGAAAGTCCTCGTCTCCGCTCAGCGCGGTCCGTTTGGCACTGGCGGCACTGCCGGTCGCCGGCGGCTGATACAGTCGCAGTGTCCGCGCCCCGCGCCACGTCAGTCTCGTGTGCGCCACGTCCGTCTCTCGTGCGCCACTCTGTCGATATCGCCGCCCTACCAGCGGCTGGCGTCCGGACTGGGGGTGCTCCAGGCGTCCGGCACAGCGCCGGGGCACGCGTCGACGCCGCTGTGTGGCAGCAGCGAGCCGGGCCGCGGCCGGGTGGGCTCTGGGAACTCTGTCTCGCCGTGCTGCGCCAGGTAGTAGAGCGCGTTGGTGAGGCCGTGGTGCGTGTCGCCGGAGCCGCCGTCGGCGCCGCCGCTCTCCTCCGGAGTGATGTTCACCTGGCGGAGAGGAGGCGTTAGTGGTGGTTCTCGTAGCCAGAGTAGACTGCAAGGGGTGCAGAGTGGAGGATAGCACTGAGCAGATTCGAGCACCCTTACAGCTACACTGTAAAAAAAAAGATTAGCACCCTTTGGGTCATAAGTCAGAGTTCAATTTTCAGTACCCTGTTGGTGCTTAATGTATGCCCCAAATGGTGCTTACTAAAGAGCCCTAGATGCTAGCATTAGCACCATTTTGGTGCTTAACTTACACCCCAAAGAGTGCTTCGTTCAGAGCCATAGGTGCTAGCATTTACACCGTTTCGGTGTTTTGGTGCTAAATTCACGCACCCAGAGTGCTTCATTAAGAGCTCGGGTGCTAACATTGGCACCGAAGCACCCTAGCATGCGTCTAGCACCCAAAAATGTGCCGAGTTCAATTTTCAGCTCCTAGTGGGTGCTAGCTGTGGTATGGTGCTAGCGTAGCACGTATTTAGCAGATAGATGCTTATGTTAGCACCATAACGTGTTTCCACCGCTAAGTTTATAACAGCGCCAAACGACAATCAGCCGGTCCCGTAGCTCAGTTGGTAGAGCGTTGGGCTCCGCGTGGTGGGAGCTCGCGTTCCCGGTTATAACAGTCTGGGCTCGAAGCGCTACGAGTGCTTAACATTTGTGTGCCTCCTGACAGGTATGGTTGCGGTTGGTGGCAGACCGTAGCCAGGCGAAGTCAGTGAGGGGACCGGCCGTGCGTGGCTATATGCGCACGATAAACTTGGGATTCTAAATTCTGCCATAGAACTGGAATTGCGTGATGGAATTGCGCGTAGAAGGTAGGGTCACTGCAACAAGCTTCGCTTAGCGGTGACTCTGTCCTGAATCCTTCCTATCAAAAGGTTCCGACTAAATTTATAAAAAAATGAAAATATTAAATATAATCGTTTGGAAAACAATGACATTTGCCGTCGATATTCTGCGGATAGTTTACGTGTTATATTTGTATCGATAAGAAATTGCCGTCGATATTCTGCGTTCTACTTCTAACTACGCCTCGATAAGAAATCTAGACCTGGCTGGTATCCATTCTGGATCCATCTTAGTCCCTTGTGTGGCCAGTTCGGAATGGCCACCGTTGCTCAGAGCGGCATTCCAGGAACACAGAGCCATTCATCAGCGCGATAATTGCCCTGTCATGGTGATTCAGAGAGATCGCCGCGGGTTGCAGCTCGGCCGTTTCCGGGTCCTTATCCCGTTCACAGACCGATGCCGGGCCGTGTCAGCGCCGATAGACTCTGCCCGGTCGGCGCCGATACCATCGGAGCGCCACGGACCGCCAGGCTGGCTACTCCCAGCTTCGTGGACCATGGTCAAGGAGGTCTTTCATGTCCACGGACAGCCGTGAACATGACATAACATATTGTCAAAGGCCCGGTGAAAGTGTCACGTGTGTTTCGGCAAGGTGTTTCGAGATCGCACTGCCAGAGCCAGATTTGTTCCCCGTCGGTGATTCGTTCGCTTTCACGCCGGCCTCGGCGGAGGATCTTCTCGTCCGGCCGGCACCCTGTTCCCTCCCCTCTCCCTCCTCCCCACCACCTCGTGCTGGGCGGGGCGGGCAATCGAAGTTGGCAGCTGTCCCGCCGCTCCAGCCGCCTGTTATGAGGAAAACGCTCTCTCTTTCTCCGCGCGGAGGCGGCTCGGCGCGGAGAGCGCTGAGGAGCATCTCGCCCGGGGACTGGGGGCCACTGAATATAGATTGGCTGGTGTTCTGTCGGTCCGGATGGGCCAGTGCCGAGCGGCGTTATTGTTTTCTCTATGGTGATGCGGCTGATGGTAAGCCGTCGGGAACGGCGACAGCTGTGTCAATTTGGCCGCCGTGTTTGTTTTAGTGGCCGCGACTCGACAAGGATAACAGACGAGAAATCGTGATGTTTTCATACAGCGTGATGGAATTCCGTGAGACGGAATGTCAATGGAAACATGTTTTAGCCATTTTTAAGATGGAAAGATCGGTCAATGGTGCAGCAAATGTGCTGTCCTTTCTTTTTCATGCATGCTGGTAATGTCATATTGGATTATAATTACTCTAGAATCTCGTTATTCAGCTACACTTTCCAATGCCATTATGCCTAACAGAACATAAAATTAATCTGCTCTCAGAATTACTCAGGAATAACAGCAAAGGCGGCTTTTTCATTAGATGCCTTTTACGGCCGTTGCCGCCACGCTAGTCGCTACCTCTGCCGTTGCACTCACCTCATCTTTTTGTTGCGAATACGAGATGGAGGAGTCCTTCCTCCGCCGGCTGAAGGGGTAGACGGCGCCCTTGCGGTAGCGCCACAGGCAGACGGCGCCGGCCAGCAGCGCCAGGATGACGCCCACGGCGGCGGCCATCGAGCCCACCAGGGCCGTCATCGTGCCGCGCGCCCCCGACGGCACGAAGTTGACCCGGCCCGGCTGCGCCACCGGCGGCTCCGGCTCGGGGTCAGTGTGGGTGGGCACCACAGACTGCCGGCCGGTGAGCGGCGGCAGCGCCGGAGGGGTCGGCCGGCGGGTGCTGGACGGTCTCCAGCGGACGGTGGTGGTTGGTAGAGGAGCTGGACGTGTAGGTTCTGTGGGTGGAGGTGTGGTGGGAGACTGGGTAGGAGAAGGTGGCGGTGATGTGACCCGTGATGTAGACGTGGATGGTCTAGCTGTGGTGGTGCGGGTTGTTGTGGGGGATGTGGTGGAGACAGTTGTGGTTGTCGTGGATGTAGTGGTTGTGGTGGTTGATGTTGTGGTTGTGACGGGGCGTGCGGTAGTGGTGGAAGTCGATGTAGTTGCAGCTGAGGTGGTTGTGGTGGTCAGGGACGGATTTGTCCGCTCTGGCTGGCTCTCAGCCGGCGATGCGGTTGCTTGGGTTGTAGGTGGCGGCATGTCCTCCCCACTCCCGCTGGACTCCCCGTCTTGTGCCGCCGGCTCCGCTGTATCTGCACTGTCGGGGTCCTCCTCGTCCCCGGGCTGTGGATCGAAGTCGCTGTCCTGCAGCAGCGCCACTGACTTCAGTAGCAGCCTCTGCGGCCTCCGACAGCGGGCCGAGAACGGACTGTAGAACTGCACCGACCCTTCGGCCATCCAGTCCTTTAGCCACATGATGTCGGGGTCGGAGCAGTCCCAGCGGCTGCCGCCCAGCTTCAGCAGCTGCAGCCGCGGCAGCAGGCGCGGCAGGTCGGCCCGCAGCCGCTGCAGCTCGTTGTGCATGATGTTAAGCTGCTGAACGGAGCGGATGCCGTGCAGCAGTTGGCCCGAACCGAGCACGCGCTCCACCAGCCGCGGGCTGTCGAGCAGCTCCAGCCGGTCCAGCCGCTCCAGCGCGTTGAACAAAGAGTCGGGCAGCGACACGTTGCCGGCGATGCGCGACATACGCAGCGAGGTGACGGCGAGGAACGGCGCGAACGCTCCCGGTTCGATCACCGTCAGCGGGTTCTGCGACAGGTCCAGCGACTCGAGCGCGATCAGACCGGAGAAACTTCGCGCCGATAGTCGGGTGATTCGGTTCGCCTGCAGGTCCAGGTTCTGAAGGCTGCCCAGGCCGCAGAAGGCACAGTCCTCTACCAGCGCGATCTTGTTGCGCTGCAGGAACAGCTGCTCTAACTTGACCAGACCCTGGAATTCGTCAGCTCTCAGAGCAGTGATCTGGTTCTCCTCCAGGTAAAGCGCCTTGAGGCTGGACGGCAAACTGGTCGGCACCCGCTGAAGCTTGTTTCCGTTCATCCAGAGCCGCATCAGGTACTCGTGCCGGCCGAGCGCGTCCTCCTCCAGCTCTGTGACGCCGGAGTCGTCCAGCACCAGCAGGCCTAGGTACGGGTAACTGTCGAAGTCGCCACGTCGCAGTGCCGTGAAGTTGTTCTTGGCTAGCCGGAGGTCTCGCACGTACTGGGTCAGTGACTGCGGGATCCGCGTCAGACCTACCGCCGACACGTCGATGTACTGCAGTCGGGAGCCGAAGAACTCCAGGCGACTGAGGTTGGACAGCGGGTTGTTGCTGAGGATCAGGTGCGCTAAGCTCGTCAGGCCCTGGAACGCTGCCACGTCGATTTCGGCGATGGTGTTTGAGTCGACGTTTAGGTACTGCAGCTTTTCCAGACCGTCGAGCGTGTGTGGTCCCAGACGCGTCAGGTTGTTGCTCCTCAGCGTCAACTGCTCCAGCGAGGTCATGCTCGCGAAGGCGCCCTCGCACTCACGGAGCTCGTTGGACGAGAGGTCCAGGTTGCGCGCCGCCGTCAGCCCGGCGAACGTGCCCGGCGACACGGTGGCGATCTCATTCTGACTGAGGTCGAGCTTCCGCAGCGCGGCCAGTGCCTGGAACGTGCCCTCCTCGACGACGCCGATCTTGTTCTGCGGCGCCTTCAGCTCGGTAAGGTTGGCGAAGTCGGCCAGCTGCGCGGCGCCCAGCGTCGGGATGACGTAGTTGCGCAGCTCCAGCCGGGTGACGCCGTCCGGGATGCCGTCCGGAAAGCGCCAGATGGTGTCGCCCACGCAGTTGACGTTGAGCTGGGCGTCGCAGTAGCAGGAGCTGGGGCAGCTGCGCTGCGCGCCGGCCGGCGCCGCCGCCAGCGCCGCCAGCAGCACCGCCAGCTGGGCGGCCGCTCGCAGCATGGCGTCGGGCGCGTCAGGCGGCGCCGGGCGCGCGGCTCGCTCTGCTGGCCGCCGGCGCCGCGCCGCCGGGGCCACCCATCTATCGGGCTGCCGACCTCCGCCGGCCGGCGCTCGGCTGCGCTCCGACCGCCTCCCGACCGTCCTGCAAAGCACGAACAGGAAGCGCGATTAGTGGGGTGATTGTTTTCGCCTCTGCGGCCGAACGCCTGCAAAAAGCGCCCTCCGAGGCCGAGCTGGCTCGGTGCACGGGCGACAGGCCGCAGCTGCGACCGCTGCTGCTATCACTGCATACGGCCACTCCGCTGCCAGTCTCAAGAGCAGTGACGAATATTGTGGGTAAAGTCCACATGATTTTGCTGCCTAGCTCGGCCACTACCGGAACAAGTAAAAAGGAGATGATCAAGGGCGTCCAAGTGATATCACCAAACATTCAAGGCCATGTTTTGCTGCGCGGCGTGCTTAGTTTATTATGTCTACGGAAGGTGAACTGTTCGTAATGAGGATTTGCTGAACTTCAACACACTGGAAAGAATAAACGTTCTTGTTTTTCACTTAGCTCATCAATAAGTTGTCAATATTTTATGATCCGCCGAAATCATATGTCGCGTCTGGAATTCATTTTGTTTTATTTATTATTGTTATCAAAGCCCATTCATCCACCAATATGTCGACGTTGACTGCTTAGATTGTCTTTTTTCACATGGTAACCCCGGCTCCCGACCAGCACCAGTTAGCAATTAGCATAATACTGAAGATTCTTGGTGACTGCCTATGCAATAACGTTAAGACTATGTGCCGCTCCACTGATTCCCTTAGCTCTGTGACGTGGTCTCTGAGCAGCTGACTGCGGCTCGCCGGCTCCCTTTTTACCTCCTCTTTGGTGCTTATTCTAACAGTCCGAGTCAGGTCACGTGTCCTGGACACTCGTTGGTGCGAGCCACTCATCTGATTGGACGCGGGAGGGAACGGACGCATTTGCATAGCGGGCGGGCGGCCCACTGGATGATCTGTGTGTCTTTATTAGCGTTTTACAGCCGCAAACTGGGCTGGAAGTTATACGATTGTGGTGCGGCAACTTAACCGTTCAGAGTCGCCGCCTATTGTCAGACAGGATTGGCTGCTTTTCTGATGCTTATAGAGCCTTTGCTGATAAAGTACAGGCTACTCTTCCTTTTTGTAGTGCTACAGCTAAATCAGTGTGAAATCCCAGTTTGTGAATGCTGGTCTATTGGGTGAATGCTTATGTCATATTGGCTGACATAATTTTGTGCTATATTTATGCCTCAAAGATTCACCAATTTTGCTAGTCGGTTCTACGTTGTTATGTTATATCGTTAAGTGCTGCCTGAGCATCCGAGCTACATCCTCAGGCCTTTATGCCGGAAAGCCTTGGCCTCTGTTGCGGAGCCCCACATGTCTGCTGTGCCGGTTTGTTCTGCATCTCGGCCACCGTAAATGTCAGTTAGGCGCAGCTCAGCGGGCGGCTCTGACGGACGGCCGCGCCGCTCCCCGGTGGGCGCCGCGCCACTCCGCTCCACGGTTGTACCGACACGGTCGCTAGTCCGTCGGTCTGTCTGTGTGCCGCCGGCTGGCGGTCGGCCCAGCCCACCGCGCACGTCGCCTGCCAATACATATAACCGGCGCATGCCGCGTCGGCCGCTGTAAAACGTGACAGCAAATCGGGCCGAGCGCCGCCGACAGACGGGCGGACCGTGCTGGGGCGATCTCCTGTCGGGGGGAGCAGTGTGAGTCCAGTGAGGCAGGCGCCGCAGCCGGGCGGTATCTCAGGACGTCCACCCTCTGTGCGGTGAGGGTGCGATGGCCTCCCCCAGGAGAACGATTGCTGATCTCAGCCGGCCGTCCCTCCGGATCCTCCGGCTCGGGGAGCGTATCCGGCTCCGGATACGGGGCCACCCCTTCCCGGCGGAGCTCCACTGCCGGCCGGCGGTGCCGCTATCGCAGCCGCCAGAGGTGACGGCGCTATTTTTCGGCCGTCCCGGGAGAGGGCGGCCACTCGCGGGAGCCGCTGATTTATTTGCGGCGGTCGGCGCAGAATAAAAGTGGCCACTAATGGGGCGCCTGTCAGCCGGCCACCGTCCGCGGACTGGGGAGGCCGGGGCCTCCCGCCCCGCCCCGCCCCGCCCCGCCCCCGCCCCCACAGCCCGGTCCCGCTGCCGAATGGCTGTTGTTGAATCGGAACGAAAACGGCACGATAGCGGAATGATGGCTCCGATGGGAATTCGACGAGCCGTTGGCGAGCGGCGCCGGTGCTATGTTCCAGTTACCGACGGCGATACGACAGCGGCGGAAAATAGTCGCAGGATTTGGCGTTCATGGTGCGAAAACAGGAGCGGATGTTGGTTCGAAATTTATCCTGAACACCAGTGTTCTCTGAAATAGGAATATCGCTGGCTATGCTCCGTGTTTTCGAAGCGTAAAACCTTTAATGCGAAGTGGCCTCAGTCAGCGCGCCTGCTGCATGCTGACTGGGCGGGAATTGTTCCATGGACTGTTTCTCAGACCGGAACTGAGCAAGTGGCGATCGGTCGTGGGGGAAATGGCCCGCTGCTGGTCAGGGCGGCGGCGGCGGGGGCGCAGCTGCGGCTGTGGTAATGAGCCGTGGTACGCGTCAGTCCGGCCCAGGCCGCAGCAGGGGCCGGGCCGCGGGGACCGGCCGGCGGCAGGCCGGACACGAGCTGTTGTTCTTCGGACCCGGCCGAGCTATCAGCCGTCGGTGTGAGGCCTCTGGGCCGCTGTAGTACTACTGAGACACTCCTCCTCCAGACGGTCCAGTGGACTGGATGCTCTAGTGAGATGCTCCCCAGGACTGATTCGATGTTGGGTGCCGACTGCCGAACTCAAAATCCTCACCCAATGAAAACCGCATCATTTCTGTCAGGCCGTTTCTTGTCTCGCCGGCTCCTTTTAGTGCAGGCGTGGGTGTGGGCGATTGTGAGAGTATTTAGAGCGCCGTCATAAATAAATATTCCATCGAACATTTGAGTGGACTGCATTAGCCGCTGGCTTTGCTGGCGGTCGTTCGGGCCGTATGGCCGCTGGTTCGGCTGTTGAGGGGCGGCGCTCCCTGTTTCGGTTGACGACCCTGAGCAGCCGGTCCGAGAAGCTGGCAATCTGCGGGGCTTGTCACGGCCGGGGACACCCAATAAAGCGGCGCCGCTCGGCCGGGACCTTTGAACAGACGCCACGTCACGCGACTCGGATGTCCCTGTTCGACAGGCGGTCCTCTGAAGGCGGGGAGGCCCGGCGCTGCCCCCACTCCCCTTTGACGCAATGTGTGACGTCGGTGGCATCTCAAATGGTTTGTATTGTATGGATTCGCAAGTAGATCTCGTGTTATTGGACAAGCTTGAATTACATTTATGTATCGGCGTCTGCCTGCCACAAAGAAAATCAATGGCTTTCACTCTCTGACCCTGTGGTAAGATTTTAGCTCAGGCTCCGCGAGAAATGTCTCATGCTGGGATAGTTGTTGTGACATCTTATACTGTCTTATTTACCGCATTGTATACTTTATGCCTTTCCGGCTCATTCTTTCTACCAGATGTGTCCCACCGGTGATCGCTTCGCGTCTTTCCCAGTATCTGGGCTCCAGGTGAACTCAGACAACCTAATTGCGCTGCCGTCAGTGCCGTGGATCCGCATACACTATTCATGATTCAGTCCGTATGCCGGCTATGACGTCATAATGATCTCTCGCGGGGTTTGCCAGAAGGATCGCCTCTGAATCGACGGGTACTTCACCGGCGCTTGGTCGGCAGTTCGAACCACTCGCCTCGAGAGACCGCCTCGTCCTTGGTAACATCGAATAAAAACCGCTGAGACATCGTCCACCGCTGCCAAACAACCAGCTCTGTGCTAAAATACTGAACACTCAACTATAACAATACTGCAATTCCATCTGGAAGCATACAAGCCTGAGCCGAATTGGAACTGAAGCGCAGGACGAGCGGCTGTACGAGCGGACTCCTCGGGCGGGGGCGGTGGAGTCCGGGCGGGGGTGGGGGCGGTGGGCTGCCGCCCTCGTCCGTCTCCCTGCTGCCGAGGCGGTGACGGCGGCGGTGCGCGCCTCGCCTGTGCCACTCCGATTAACCCGCTCTCCGTCACCGGAGGGGGCCGGGGCTGCGAGAGAGAGGAACGAATGAGGTGTATGGGAGGTGAGCGGCTGCGATTTTCGTGCTGTGAGCTCGGGAAATGGATTTGCTCGCTTAGGTGAGCATTTGATCCTCAAAGTCTTGCAACGATGAAAGTGATGTAAAGGTCTTGCTGAAGAAGCTGACAAACGTGATTGGCAGATTTAATTCTTCTGCTGGTACACCGAATGGTAGGAGTTGAAATGAATGCTCCCGTTTACGAACCAACTCTGATTGCTGCGGTTCGGAGACAACATAGCCAGTAGCGTTATTGTGTGATTGGGCGATATTAACATCGCTGGCTGTCTCCCGGGCCAACTTTGAGCATAGTTTCAGTAAAATAAGCCGACGATATCCTGTCCTCAGTGGGCCGACCGATGGCCGCCGAAGGTCGGGTCGGTCGGTCGCCGCTGCGGGACGATGTTTATCATAATCTGCGGATTGGTCGGATGTGTCCATGTCAGTGGCCGGTCCATTGGAGCCGGGAGCGATGGCCGATCGGTGCTGGGATTGTGCCCGCCGGCCGCCGCCGGTCGTACGTTGCCGGGGGCGCGGCCGTCCCGGAGCGGTCGCTCACGGTCCGGCCGGCCGGCCCGGCCGCCGGGAGGGCGCTCTGATGACCGACAGCGGCCGTTCTACCGGAGCCAATTCCACGCTTAGTTGACCGGCGCGATGATGCAGCGAAATATGGCCACCATTTCGCGGCTCACCGCCGACGATATTTCAATAAGATGGACCCGATATCGACCGGGCTTTGGTTTGCGCGCGGTCGCCGCCGGCGGAGCGGGGGGGGGGGGCAGACTGCTGTTGTGGTGGTGTGCATCCCCGGTCTGTACCTGGGGTTTGCATCTCTACGACCATGTGTGCCCTCGGGGCACGGTCCGGCGGCGGCTCCCGGCCGGACCGTGCGGGGCCGCGTCAGTCTCTACTGGGTCCGCGCCACGCTCGCTCGCTGTGAACAATACACCTGCACCGGTTCAGAGGCGTCTTCACATGGCGCAGCCTGCAGGATCGTGAACGTGCGATTACCAGTGCAAGTGTGACAGGGCGACGTGCATAATTATTGTGCATTTTCGACCCAGCAATGGGGGACTCTGACGCCGACAGCGTAGCGGATGCGTCTCGGGAGCCGGATGCGTTTCGGGAGCCGGCCGCTTCCGTCGCGGTTCGGGCTGCCGCGCCGCGGCAGCGGGCCGGCCGCGGTCGTGCGTCCCGCAGCGCGCCGGCCCCGTGGGCGGGCCGAGTACGAGCACCGGACAGCCTGAACCTCTCCACGGACCGGGGTGAGTCTTTCCTGGTGTGGAGAGAAAGCTGGGAGGACTACGTGCTCCTGACCGGCTTGATAGACGCTGAACCTGACATTCAGCTGGCTGCCCTGAAAAATGTCATGACCCCGGAGAGTCGCCGCGTCCTGAGGAACCTGGAGCTGACCGAGGTCCAGCGTGCCGATCCCGAGGTTGTACTGGACGCGCTGGAGCGTTTCGCAGTGGGCCAAGTAAACTAGGTTATCGAAAGGAAGAGGTTTAACGAAAGGTTTCAGGCTGAAGGGGAGGTCTTTGATGATTTTCTAACCTCCCTGCGTGAATTGTCTCGTGCTTGCAAATTTTGTAACGCGTGTAATGATTCGCTAATCAGGGATAGGATTGTGATGGGTCTGAGATCAGCGGAGACCGTCAAACGTCTCTGCGCCGTCCAAAACCTCTCGCTGTCGCATGCCATCGCTGTTTGCAGGGCTGACGAGGCGGCCGCCAGAGACGCCGTGGAGCTGCGGGCAGGCGGACTCGCCCGGGCCGCCGCCCACCGAGTGGACGCCGCCGAGCGCCACCGAGCGCCGCCGAGCGCTGGACCGAGGCGGCGCGACGGCGGCTGGTGCGCTGCGTGCGGCCGGCGACGTCACCGGATGGGAGACGCGTGTCCGGCCCGGGGTCAGCGCTGTCGCAGCTGCCGTCAGCTGGACCACTTCGCGGCAGTTTGCCCCGACGCATCCGGCGACTACGATGACCGCCGACCGACCACGTCGTACGAGCGCCGCCGGCTGGCCCCGTCTCGGCCGCGGAGCTCGCCACCTGGGCGGAGCTACAGGCCCGACCCGTACCGCTCGTCGTCGAGATCGCCGTCCCCGTCGCTGGACACGCGGCGATCGCAACGGCGCCAGCCGTGGCGCGGCACCCGGGTCCGCTTCCAGTCGTCGGAGGGCAGCAGTGACCGGAGCCCGGACGGTGCGGCGCGGCGACCGGCCGCGTCGGCCATCATCGCGGTCGCTTCGGTGCAGAGCGCCCCCCGCGTGCGCCTGGATGTCACGGCGCAGCGCCGCGCCTCGGTACTCGCGCTGCCTGACACCGGGGCTGACATCTGCGTCGGAGAACTCGACTTCCTGAAGGAGATGGACGAGTACCCGGAGAACTTGCTCCCCCCGGAGCAGCATCCTCGGACAGCCAACGGCGAGACGGTCAAGTCGCTGGGAGTCCTGCCGGTCTCGCTGAATCTCGGCCGCGTCTCGGTGCAGGAGTCGGTGCACATCCTGGAGGGCGTCAGCGGCCTGCTGCTCTCCTGGAAGGCCGGGAAGGGACTTCACATCATTCCAGCCGGTTATCCGCAGCAGATAACCGCCGATCTACCGGAACCCGCCTCTGGCTCTCGCACCAGGGACGCACCAGACCGCCCTCGGCCGGGGCCAGCGCGGCATCGGCACCGGTCTCGCGCCGCGCTGCCCGACGGTGGCACGTCATCGGACTGCGTGGCGGCGGTGTCGCGCGACGGCGCTGCTGGAGAGGCGACCGCGGCGACACCTGTCGAGCGGCCTGACAGCAGCCTTCCGACCGGTGCACCTGCATCTGAAGACGGGTCAGCAGAGCCGCCTGTGGACCAGGGAGGCTCCTTCCCGGACATCACGTCCGAGTTCCCCACCGTGTTCGACGGCCACATCAGAGTCATGCCGGGGGAGCAGTTCAAGATTCACCTCAGGGAGGAAGCCGTGCCGTTCCGCGTGTCGAGCCCACGACGAGTGCCCCTCTCACTCCGCACGCCGCTGAAGGACGAGTTGCAAAAGCTGGTGTCCGAGGGCATCATCGTGCCCGTCACGGAGCCGACTGAGTGGTGTGCACCGATCGTCGTTGAACCGAAGAAGGAGGGAGGAATCAGGCTGTGCGTGGACCTGTCTCGCCTGAACAAGTTCGTCCGCACCGAGCAGTACCAGGCACCCACCCCGCTGGAGGAAGTTGCCTCTATAGCGAGCTCGGAGGCGAAGTGGTTCACCGTCTTCGACGCGGCAAAGGGCTACCACCAGTGCCCTCTTCATCAGGACAGCGTGCTGAAGACGACGTTCATCACGCCGTTCGGCCGGTACGCGTTTTTACGCGCGCCGTACGGGGTCAGCTCGATATCTGACCACTACAACAGGCGCATGGACGAGGCGTTCTCCGGCCTCACCGGCTACAAGAAGATCGATGATGACGTCGTGGTCTACAGTCGGACCAGGGAGGACCACATCCGTGACGTCCGTCGCTTCATGGAGCGCTGCGAGGAGAGAGGTATCTCCCTGAACCGGCGGAAGCTGCAGCTGGCCCAACAGAAGGTGAAATTCGCCGGCTTCATCATATCGGCGGACGGCTACGAGCCCGACCCTCAGCTGACGTCGGCCATCTCGTCGTTCCCGACACCGAAGAACATCTCTGAGCTCCGAAGTTTCTTCGGCCTCGCCAACCAGGTCGCCCCATTCGTCGACGAGCTCTCGGAGCTCCTCCTGCCTCTCAGGCCGCTGCTCAGCACCCGAAACGAGTTCGTCTGGGACGAGCAGCAAGAACAGGCGTTCATATCAGCCAAGAAAGCGCTGACATCAGTTCCGAACCTGGCCTACTTCGACCCCAGACGACCAACCTCGCTCTCGACCGACGCCAGCCGCCTCAAGGGATTCGGCTTCCTCCTACGGCAGCAGCAGGAGGACGGCAGCTGGCGGGTTATCCAGGCGGGATCGCGATTCCTGTCTTCAGCGGAGTCCCGATACGCCACCATCGAGTTGGAAGCCACTGCCGTGGTATGGGCCATGAAGAAATGTCACATCTTTCTCTCCGGACTGACGAGCTTCACGATATTCCTCGACCACAAGCCGCTCGTCCCCATCATCAACGGCAAGACTCTCGACGAGATCGAGAACCCGAGACTACAGAGACTGAAGTTGAAGATGGCATACTACGGACCATTCGTAGCCAGCTGGGTGCCAGGATCCCAGCACAAGGCGGCAGACGCTCTCTCCAGGAGCCCCACCCAACCAGCAGCTGCTGATGACGAATGTGGGAAAGACGACGACGCACCTGCCCTCCAGAGCGTCTTGGTAGCTGAGCTTCGAGCGTGCGACACCGACATCATGCTGGACCGGGTGGAGTGTGCGACGTCAGAGGACCCCGAGCTCCAGATGCTCCGAGACATCATCTCCACCGGCTTTCCGGCATCCAGAGCGGAGCTTGCGGAACCCCTCCGGAAGTACTGGCCGGTGCACGACCGACTGTCAGTGGAGGGCGGCATCATCTTATGCGGCATGCGCATCCTGGTGCCGCTATCCCTCCGTAGATCGACCTTAGCGTCTCTCCATGCAAGTCACCTCGGGAAGGAGAAGACCAAGGAGCGAGCTCGGCGGGTGGTCTACTGGCCGGGAATGGACGCCGCCATCGACGACGTCACCAGAGGATGCAGTAGGTGTCAGCAAGAGCTGCCATCCCAGCCGAGGGAGACCATGCTGCATCATGAGCCTGCCGCCAGGCCGTTCCAGGTCCTGGACATGGACTTCGCAGACCACGCAGGAGGCAAGTACCTCGTCGTCGTTGACGGCTACTCTGGGTGGAAGTTCATCGAATGTACGGGCACCCGGTCTGACACCAAAAACGTAATCAAAGTAATGCTTAAGATTTTCAGTGAGGTCGGTGTGCCAGAACTTGTCAGAACCGACGGGGCCCTCTGCTTCACGTCTCTTCAGTTCAGCACGTTCTTGAGCAACTGGGGCGTTCTGCATCGCACATCATCCCCACACTACCCCCGATCTAACGGGTTGGCCGAGTCTGCTGTTAAATCTGCAAAAAAGCTTCTCAGGCGATGCTGGGACGACGGCAGAGGACGGCTCAACGAAGAGGAGTGGACGCGGGGCCTGCTTCAGCAGCGGAACACGCCGGGCGTCAGCGGGAAGTCGCCCGCCGAGATCGTCTACGGCCGGCCACTGAGGGACGACCTGCCCACGCACCCGTCGCACTTCAAACCATCGGCGCGCTCGCAGCGGGCGAGTGGAGGCGGAGCCCAGCAGCGGAGGGGGACGCCACCGCACCAGACTGTGGACTGCGACGATCGCCGCGAGTCACGCCGCTGCGCCGCCAAACGGTGGTACGACCAGCATGCCCACGACCTGCCCGAGTTCCCCGTCGGGACTCGCGTCCGTGTGCAGGACGTCAGGACAAAACGATGGGACAGGTGCGGCGTGGTGACGTCGGTCGGCCCCCACCGACGCTACAGTGTACGCTTCGACGATGGAGGGGAGGTGGATCGGAACAGATGCCACCTGCGCAGGCGGCACGCTCTGTGCCCGGTGCCCGGAGTGGAGCCTCCCGGGAGAGCCGGCCCGCGTGTCGTCACACAACCGGACACTGGTCGGATGAGTCGTGACCATGCATCTGCGAGCGAATCGCGCGCCTCCACGCGGCCGGATCGCGCGCCGCGCACTGAGCCGCCGACTGTCCGCCGATCCACCCGTGTGCGGAAGCCAGTGCGTCGACTCATAGAGGAGATGTGATGGTGTACTACGTTTCTTGTTATTTTCGCTATTGTGTTATGATTCCGTTCTTTTCGTTATACCTCGAGCGCGCTGGGGGCTTAAGGGGGGAGATGTGGTGGTGTGCATCCCCGGTCTGTACCTGGGGTTTGCATCTCTACGACCATGTGTGCCCTCGGGGCACGGTCCGGCGGCGGCTCCCGGCCGGACCGTGCGGGGCCGCGTCAGTCTCTACTGGGTCCGCGCCACGCTCGCTCGCTGTGAACAATACACCTGCACCGGTTCAGAGGCGTCTTCACAGCTGTTAACCCCTGAGCTTCAGTCTTTTCACAGCCAGTACAACGTTCGCAGTAGGGCCGCGCCGAAGTGCGGTTTTCATGAACGTGATTGATCACCAGTTCCATTGATTTCGACCCCTTTAGTGGTTCCATGGCGTTTGCTATTCGTTTTGCTATGTTTTGAATGCTATTTACCGGTTAAGCTCTTCTCATTTGAGTTTGTTGTCAACCGCAAGCTGGACAATGACAATTCTTTATTTGTGCGGGATTCTTGCTTCATCTCCTTTTTTCTGCTCCCCTCCGGCATTGTGTAAAATTCCGTTAATGATCCCCCGGCCGGCACTCGCAGAACCTTGTGAATGGGTCGACGAGTTTTACTCGGCGTCGTTAACCTGCCGCCAGCACTGCCTCCCGACCCCACCCCCACTCACACCGGTCCCGACCTCTCCGGCCCGCGGCCGGGTTAATCAAACTCTCGGCAAGTTTTCCATACAGCGATGACCAAATTAGCGCGGGATAGCGAGCTCCTCTCTCCTTCATCTCTTCACGTGTCTCTCCTCTCTCCGTCTCTCTCCTTCCCTGTATCCCTAGCCATCTATCTCTTCCTCTTCCCCCGTTCGTCCACCTCGACTTGCGTGATTTTCCACGCCGTGGTTATCCAGCTCCCCGTTGTCCAAAGATCCTTACTCTGGGACCTCTGTTTAACTCTGTCCTTCCCCTGTCCACCAAATGCGCTGATGAGACGTGTCTCTCCGTGTTCGCTGCGAAATTGTGTTCGCAATGCATATGAATCGCTAATTTACGTCGTTGCTTGTTCCACAGGTCACAACAGCATAATTATACGATATTGGAATCTGCTTTGCTATACCAATTCCATTCGTTAACTTAATTAATGCGATGATAACAGGCAAATTGGTCGACTGTCCAATTAGCCCCACTGTTTGCATGCTATTTTAGCATAATTTACATAATTGCTTGTGCACGTAGTGATTTGCGAATAGCCTCTCTATTTCCAACGTCAATGCCTGCATCTGGTTTTGCCGGTGCTGATAATGAGTTTTGGTTTGTTTGCCTATATTAATAGGAAAAATGACCTTTTAGGATATTGAAGTCTGTTACTGCAGAATAATTTTGTTCGGCAGCGGCGAACAGTGTTGAATCCAGCGCTGAATATGAGCGCTGAATGCATCAAATCATTGGCCATTTATGGATTGGGCTGACTGAGATGAAACGATCGTGTTGGGACCGTTTGGCCGCAGACCAACCAGAACGCTGCCTGGGTGGGTGCGACGGACGTCGGCAATTCGACACCCGTCTATCTCCCGAGAGCTGCCCTGAGTGGGTGCGATCAGACCCCGACCATTTGACACCTGTTCGTCTCCCGAGAGCTGCTCGGGGTGGGTTCCCCGGCCGCGCCTGTCTTCCTTGAAGGTACCGGGCGGCCTGGGGATGGGATATGGGATGTGCAGTTAACTCATTGCTCGTGTGGAAACTCCATAGTTGCCTTGTGCTACCGTATTTGCCAATGCCATCGTTTTTGGCGAATCCTTTGCCCAATATCTTCTCCTTTTCCTCCCTGTGATGTCCCGAGTCAGCGTTGTGCCGGTGCCGCCGATGTCCAGTTGACACTGATGTTTGGCGTCGGACCCACCGTGGCGGGTGACATCGACCCGCCCCCGGGGGACGCGCCGCCCCCGCCCCCTCCCCCGCCCGCGCCTCCGCCGCCGCCGCCGCGGACATTAGCCTAATCCGTTTGGAGGCCAGATGCGCACCGGGCCGCGTCCCCGCTCCCTGGTCGATCCGACTGTTACACCTCCGCTGCACCTCCGATACACCTTTGCTACATCCATCTTTACTACATCTCTAGAACTGGTCGATGCCCGATGGGATTTTCAACTAGGAACAGCGCCGAAGGTCTCCACTGGCTTTTCATATATTTGCTGTTGGCAGTATGTTTGCTATCTTAGATCTCTTTTCCAAAGTATCGATCCGACATAAGTCGACGCCGGGATTTCCCCGGGCTTCTTCGCCAAAAATATTGCAACCATTCCCGGCTTCCGACTACGTAGATGACGAGTCCGCAACACGTACCCTCTAAATTTAGACGTGCCTCGGCTTTGAAAACTTCACCTGCTAACGCTCCCGGTTCCGGCGCTCTGACGGGCCGAGTCGTAAACGGGAGTGGTGCCATCAGCGGACGGTGAACGTCGGCCCGGCGTGTAGGGCTCTCAGCGTGCATCGTTCCGGCTTTGATTCATGGCGGCGCTGGGTGCCATCCGCTCGGGCCACGAGCTGGCAGCCCGTTTTCCAGTCGGGTGCCGGCTAGATGTTCGGACCTGACTTGACATCGGCGCGATTCCGGACCGTCTTGGACCGTGTCGGCCGTAGTAGGACGTCGCTGGGACTGTGTGTATGGGTTCCGAGTCGTGTCGAGACTGTCAGAGCCGTGCCGTGGACCGCTCCGAGCCGTGGTGAGACGTTCCGGCCTCGCTGGGCCGTGCCGCTCGTGTCGGGTGCGCTGTCGGCCCCGTGTCCGCGTCGCCGGCCCATTGAGACGTCGGTGGGGCCATTTGGCGTCCGAGGACGACCTTGCTCGTGAGATAAGGTCCCCGGCCGACTCGGAGTGCGGCGTCAACCAATGAGCCGAGCCCCGAGTGGGGTCGCGACTGGAGATGAAGTCGCGCTGATGTGATCTCGCCAATGGAGCTGCGGTCCCCGGGACGGTCGTTTGGAAGTGACGGCTGACAACGTCAGAGAGACGGGGTCGATATTTATATCGGGTGTTTTGGGGGATTACTTTCGAGCTCAATGTCGGACAGGTATCCTGTTTGTTATGTTAAAACGGTTGCTTCTGCTCTGCCAATGACATAGTTATAATGATTGTATAATTTTGCCAGACATCATGCGGTAGGCATCTTGACAACTTTGTGTTTAATTCATCAGTAGTTGTTTTAGGAATGTTTGATTTTTTACGGTGCGCGCTACGTGAATGATAATTATTATTGCATTAAAATTATGTACATTGAATTCATTATGCAGTTAAGCTGTACTAAGAGCCCTGCACTTTCTTTCAAATCCGCTAATGGTGTTTTCGATAGGTAAACGATGCATCGTAGTTTCGTTTCATTACGCATTCATAGTTTCATTACACTGGTGCTCATCATTTACTTTCTCTTCTTTTGACCGTTGAATTGTTTTGAAGCACGTCGATTCCCTGGATCCCGCCCTAATCAGGTTGGATCGCATCGGATCGGGCCGGGACGGGTCGCCGGGCGTCTGACACCTCTCAACCCGGACGTTCGGTCGGTCGCGCTCGGCTGCGACCATTAGTCGGAGCCTCCATCGGTCTTCCGGGCGTGCCTTCGTTGGGCGCCGGCGGCTCGCTTTTTACACCGGCCGGCCGTCGGCGACGATTTCTCACTCGGGCGAAAAACGCGCCGACACTGGGCGACCTTTAATTTGCCACCGGGTGGCGAGTTCTTGGCGCCCCGAGGTACCGAGAAACCGTGTGTCCGGGTACGAGATAAAGGAGTGGCTTTGAACGGAGACGCGGCGGCGGAGCAGTTCATTCGGTCCGCGCCGAGCCTGTGCGCACTGTGATACCGCTCGGGGCGCGCTCACGTGGGCGGAACTAACCGGACCGTTTGAGTTGAACCTGTTCGAGCCGCGCCGGCCCGCTTCCGCTCGGCTGGGGCGGCCAGCGGCCAAAGTGGCCATTAGCTGTGAGTTGGGCGGCGAGGAGACCAATCTGGCGCACGGGCCGGCTGCTGACCCCGCAGTACCGGCGCCGGACCGCCCCGGCAGAGCCGCCGACCAGGCGGGCTGCGGGTCGGCCGGCGGAGGTGCGGGCAGAGTGGGTTCGTAGGAGAGTGAGAAGGTCGAGCGGGCACAGCGTGCTGCCCTTTCGGTGGAAGAATGGTGAAACGTGATTGGATTTCATGGGGTGTGAAAATGTGACAGTTGCATGTACGTAGTATCCACTGCCTGTCCGCGTTGTAACACGCTTACTTTAAATAACAGACGCTTTTCTTTCGATTGCGATAACAATTCGGTGAAGTAATTATTCTAGTACTGCAGTTTCCTTGGTAAACGGATGTCCGGAACTCGACCCTGATGGGATGTTTGCTAAATGGAGCTTGTTCCGCGAAAGCCCCACTTTCGAGCTGCACGCAGTGCCCTATAGCCCACACCAACTGGTCAGCCCGTTTCAGTTTACCGTGACGGAGTAGGATCCCGGCGGCTGTTTCCACACGGTCGGTGAGCCGCACCACTCCGTAGCACGTACTACACCCAGCGTTTACGTCTATTGTACTAGCTCGCTGCTCCGCGGGTCGACCGGCGTCGTCTCGGCCGGAATAAATCATGATTCCCAGTGGGCCGATCAGTCCTCATTAAACATTAACGCCCGGCACCGGCGGGGAGCGTGGAACGGCGTCTAAGCGGGTCGCGGGGCCTGGCTACCACCGGCCCCTCGGGGTCTCTGGTGTAATTCGGGCGGCGACTCGACTATGAAGCTCGTTAGAAACAGCTTCGCCCTTTTCCCTGATGAGCTAGGACAAAACGGTGTTGGATGACAAGCGAGCTGTGAGACAACCTGTTTAGGTTTTTATTTGCGCGTTTCGGCTGTGTGCTTTGGTAGTCTATCTAATGAGCGAAGTATTAGCCTGTGCCTTGTAAATAGTAAAGCTGGACTGGGAAACGAGGCAAAGCCGAATGGGATAACAACAAATTAGCCAAGCCATTAGCATGCCAAAATGAGCTCCTTGGAAGCACATAACAGTGAAGCTCCTAAGCCTTTTATCTCAGACATCATTACAATCATCCTTGCTAACATAAAAAAGCTTGGCTATGGCTGAAATAACGGCTGCTCCCGTTATTTGTAACAAGATGAAGCTAACTCACACGGTGGTTTGCTAACTTAAAGTCGTGTTAAGGACACATATTTAGGTTAGCTACAAAGCAGTTAAGACAGCAAGGTACTCACCTGGTATGTTTATTTTCTGACAGCAGTTTCAGTTGTTTTGGCTTCTTATACACGCGTTATTTCTTCTATCAGTATTCTGTCTGTCGCCTGCTCGTTGTGACGGAAGTCCGGACAGCAGCTTCTCAAAGTCCCTGACTTTCACCTCGCGACGGCACCCACTGTGACCGGACCCCCGCCGCGTCGGCACCGTCACAGCCGCGCCGGGACCGTCGATCGGCACCTCCGTCCGTCGTGACCGACGAGCGTCGACTGCGGCGCGGTCCGACGGCGGTCGAGACGTCGGCGGCGACGGCTGCGTGCGTGAGGCGTCACTGCCGACAGACGGCGGGGGACGCTCGTCTGTGGAGACAGAGAACTTGTCACCCGGGACTGTAGAGGACAAGGAACGTGCGCCACACTTCCAGTTTACCGTCTGGTTTGTTGTGGTGCCTCTTTATTCCATCGCGTTTCGGACATGAACCGGGTAAGAGCGGCGCGGTGCGCGCGGTCCGTCCTTAGTGGGTAGACTGCGCCGTTTAACCTGCGTGCGCTGCGGTACAGTCTACCAAGCCAGGTACTCGTCCAGTCTGCCGTGCTGTGGCTTTGACGAGCCGCGCCGGCGAGAAAGCCAAGCGCTGAACGGACCAACAACTGTGGGAAACGTCTGCTGCGTTCTTTTCTCCCCTCTCCTGGCTCCTGCTGCCCCTGTCACCTCTCCGTCCCCGCTGATCAGCAGGCAGGGCACGCGCAGCTCGTCTGCGGCTGGCCATGGGTCGTGGCTCCGCGCCGCCTCTCGCCGGCCTCTGCCGTCGCGAGTGCCGCTCCTAATGGTCTGTTGATTCACAATGAAGCCACGCTGTCAGCAGCCGGCGGCCGCGGGCTAATATGGGCGGCTCGTCCGGGGGAGGGCTGCAGCCGGCGGCGGCGGGGACGGCAGCGGCGGCCGGCGCACCGCCCGGCCGTACGGGTCCGGTCCGACTCCGCTCAGAGCCGCGCCGCGGCTGATTGGTGCCCGGCTGAGTCAACACGCCAGCCGGCCATTCCCTGCTGATGGACCGGAGGCGTGACGACGAGCACCTGACCCGGTTACAGGACCAAGGCCGGGGCGGCGGAGGCACGACTCGGTCTGTCATTGTGACCTGGAACGCCAGATTAGCTGCAAAGCAGTAGTTTGGCGTTTTGAACGCCGACTAGAACCCGTTCCTCTGTCATAAACACTGGTTTAAAAACGGCATGCATTTTTGTCGCATTCTACTATACAAGGAAATAAGGCAAGACAAGCCCGATATTTTAGCGAACCTTACGACCTGTTTCGTCTCAAATTTTGCTGCTGTCAAACTGTCAAGAATTGTGTTAAATGTCTTCCTCTCTACCTTGCTCCACTGCTGCACACACCGCCTCTGGCCGGGTGAAGCTATCAGCCAGTGTCGCAGGGGCGGGCGACATTCATCTCACCAGAGATCTGCGGCGGGTCGGGAAATTGGCCTCCGTTGTCCGGGCTGCCGTCGGCGGCTGTTTTGACTGGCCCCCGGCTGTTATTGCGGCCAACTGACGCCAGGGGCAGCTCCAGGAGCTCGGAAAGGGAGGACGCTATTTCGGTAGTAGAATTCCTTTATTATTTTCTCTCGCTCACAGCGTCAGTGCCTTGCTGATTGTTCCGGTCGGACTCTTGGTCCTTCAGCTCACTGGGTGGGTAGACCATCCCGCCGCGCCTGGCTGTCCGGCGGCACAGCCTACCTAGCCAGGTGTTATCTCCGCCGCGCCCGAGCACGGCTCCTGCCGCCGTGCCGCCGCGGGCCGCGCTGGTGTAGTAGGGTGACCCTTTTTGCAACTTTTTTTTAGAAGTTAGCCAGCACGCCCCTAGATCGACGTGGCTTGATGCCCTGAGTACGAAAATACCATTTTTGACCAGAAATTTTGAATTTGGAAGCCCGCCCCAAAATTTAAAGATGGGAAAATGAGCATATTTTTGCGATTCTGGCACTTTCGGTGCAGGTATTCGATAGTTGCTATTTAAAAAGCATAGTGAAATGGCATAATATAAGTTACGACACTAATTCTGCGCCGGCATGGCAAGTTTCATACATCTACACCCGTTTTACCGCTTTTTATCGCTGTTTTTTCCGACGAGAGTCAGCCGCCCGCAGCTCCCGAGTTTCATAGATCTGTCCATAGATGGCAGCACAATGGGCTTCACGTCTCGGCTTTGGGGAAGGTTTTCAGAGTGTCTTTTAGTGTTGTTTCCATTCCAGTATGAAGGAACTGGCATGTTTTTATGTTTTTGTCGCCATTAGCCCTATATTTGATCACATTTGTAATATATTCCAGCTTGAAAACTACACAATTCAGCGAAAAATCGCATTTAACTCGCGGTTGTTTCCAGTAACGTGTCTAACGGCAAATGAGAGCTGTCTGACCATGGGCTCTGGAACCTTTGGGACCTAGGAAATGGAACATGAGAGCACTGGGGCACCGTGTCCGCTTTAACTATGACAATAAACACTAATTATCCCATGGACGTTGCCAGGAAAGTGTGAGAGTTTGCAGCGTCTCTCGGCCATTTAACGGCGCTGTGCAGCCTGAAAAAGACAATTGTCTACAAATGAGATCTGTATTGCACGAGTTACCACACTGTGTGCCCATAACATACAGGGTGTCCAGAAAAAACGGATACTATTATTTTTTGCTGTAATTCTGTGCGATATTAGCTCGGTGTGCGATATTAGCTCGGCGGCGCAGCTGATCAGCTGTGACGATCAGCTGTGCCCTACTTCTGATGGCCTTGGCTTTGCGGCGCCGGTCGGCGGCGCAGCTGATTGAGCGTCGGCTGTCACGCGACAGACCATTGGCTGTGCCGCGGACACGGCCGTGCCGCGCCCGGTGATTGGCCCGGGCCCAGGACGCCGCTCTGTGGCGGCAGTTTGCGCGGGCTTCTCCGCTCTCTTCCGGCTGGGACTTGTGCGAGGGCGGTTGTGTCGGGGTGCGCTCCGTGCAATAAATTACTACAAGCTATTTCGGCACGATGGAGGACGGAGTCAACTCGGGAGCGGTGGCGGCGGTGGGCGGCGCTGGTGGGGCATTTGATGCCCGGCTCATTCCGGAGTTCGACGGCGCCGGAGACGTGGTACAGTGGCACACGCGCGCCCAGATGCTGTGCGAGCTCCGAGGCGCGTCTCTGGCAGCCGTCCTGCCCCTGCGACTGACCGGCGGCGCCTTCGCCGTATGGTCGCAGATGCCGGTCGCCGACCGTGGCTCCGCTGACGCCGTCCGGGATGCGCTGTTCACAGCGTTTGCGCCAGACCCGTTCACGGCGTATGAGGCTTTCGTCAGCCGCCGCTTGCAGCACGGAGAGTCGGCCGACGTCTTCCTGGCCGACCTCCGGAGGCTCGCGGCCCTGTTCGGTGGCGTGCCGGACCGCATGCTCGTGTGCGCGTTCGTGGCGGGTCTGCCTGAGACGACCCGGCAGGTGATACGGGCTGGCACTCGCGCCGAGTCGCTGGAGCTCGCCAGTGTTCTGGCGCGCGCGCGCGCTGTGCTGAGCGATGAGCGTGAGGCGGTGACGGCAGCGGCGCGCTGTGAGCCGCCGGCCCGGAGCCGGCCAGGCCGTGATCGGCCTGCTCGCCGCCGGCTGCCCCGACGCTGCTGGACCTGCGACCGTCCCGGCCACTTCGCTGCTGACTGCCCGGAAAACGGGCGCGGAGCGGAGGCGTCAGCGCCAGCCTCCTCTCCCAGCCAGTAGGCGCTGGCACTCTGCCGACGAGACGGCTGCAGGTGAACGGAGTCAGCTGCTTGGCGCTGGTGGACACCGGCTGCACGCGCAGCATCGTCCACGTGACGCGCTGCCCGCTGTGGACAGAACGCCGGATCAACGTGATCACGGTGAGTGGTGGTCGGTACGAGTGCCGCGGCACCGGGCCTGTGCGCGTTGGGGTGTGCAGCGGTGTGAGCGCTGACGTCAACGCGCTTGTGGTCGCCGACCGACCGCTGGGTTTCGACTTGGTGCTCGGGATGGACGCAGTGGTGGCTCTGGGCGGAGTGACTGTGAAATCGGCAGACGAGTCGGTCTTCGGGTGCGAGTTGACCGAAGTCGCGGGCGGCGCGGCGGGCGAGCCGGTGGCTGCCCGGCCGGCCCGGCCTGTGAGTGTGACGAGAGGCGCGGCGGGCGAGCCGGTGGCTGCCCGGCCGGCCCGGCCTGTGAGTGTGACGGGAGGCGCGGTGGGCGAGCCGGTGGCTGCCCGGCCGGCCCCGCCTGTGAGTGTGACGGGAGGCGCGGCGGGCGAGCCGGTGGCTGCCCGGCCGGCCCGGCCTGTGAGTGTGACGGGAGGCGCGGCGGGCGAGCCGGTGGCTGCCCGGCCGGCCCCGCCTGTGAGTGTGACGGGAGGCGCGGCGGGCGAGCCGGTGGCTGCCCGGCCGGCAGGGTCGGCGACGGTAGCGGAGGGAGCTGCGGCCGCCGCCACCAGTGGGACTCGGTCGCCTGAGGGATTGACTGTGGAGGCGAAAGACTTCGTTGCTCGGTTTGACGGGACCGCCCAGGTTTGGACAGTCGCCTGGAAGTGGGCAGACGGTGTCGGACCGGACTGCCTCAGCAACCGAGTTGCGGAGTACAGAGTCCCACCCGCCGTGCGACAGGAGTACGACGCGGAGCTGGAGTCGTGGCTCCGGAACGGCTGGCTCCAGCCGTACGACGAGGCGGTTCATGGACCACCCCGAGGACTCGTGCCGCTGATGGCGGTGCCGCAGGCCAACAAGGTACGGCCGGTGCTCGACATGCGCGAACTGAACGCTCATGTTGCAGCGTACAGCGCGGACGCCGATGTCTGTGCCGAACACCTGCGCAAGTGGCGCCGTCACGGCCGCCGTGTGGCTGTGGTCGACCTGCGCCGCGCCTACCTGCAGCTGAGGCTGGATCGGCGGCTGTGGCCTTATCAGACTGTGATGCTGCACGGACGGCGCCACTGCTTGACAAGGCTCGGATTTGGCTTGAATGTTGCGCCGCTGCTGATGAAAGCCGTGGTCCGTGCCGTCCTGTCACAGGACTCGGCCGTCGAGCGGGCCGTCTCCCCGTACGTCGACGACCTGTTGGTGGACGAGGAGGTGGTGAGTGCCGAGCGGGTGGTGGAACACTTTCGCCGGTTCGGACTCGAGTGTAAGCCGCCTGCTCGGGCCGAAGACGGAGCTCGCATGCTCGGCCTCCGCGTACAGCCCGTCGCTGGAGAGCTGCAGTGGTCACGTGACTGTGCCGTCGTCCCGCCGCCAGAGGTCGTGACTCGCCGTGCGGTGTTCGCCTGGTGCGGCCGGCTGGTGGCTCACTTCCCGGTCTGCGGTTGGCTGCGGCCAGCCGCCGCCTGGGTCAAGCGGCACGTCAACCAGCTCACCGAAGGCTGGGACGACGCCACCGACGATGGCACCCTGAGCGCTCAGATCGCCTACATCCAAGAACGGCTGGCGGGAGCGGACCCGGCTCGCGGCCAGTGGTGCTGGACTGGCGACCGTGCTGTCGTCTGGGCCGACGCGAGCTCGATCGCGTTCGGCGTCGTCATCGAGACGCCGGACGGTGGGGTGATGGAAGACGCCTCCTGGTTGCGGCCGAGCGGATCGTCAGCACACATCAATATGGCTGAGCTCGACGCCGCCGTCCGCGGCCTGAACCTGGCCATCGCCTGGGGCGCGACGGAGATAGAGCTCCGCACGGACTCGGCCACGGTGCACCGGTGGCTCAGTGACGCGCTGAGTGGGCGCACGCGCTTGCGAACTCGTGCGGCGGGCGAGATGCTGATCCGTCGGCGAGTCAGTCTCATCCGGGAGCTGACGGAGGAGCTGCAGCTGGAGCTCACTGTGACCCTCGTCCGCTCGGCTGAGAATCTCGCCGACGCGTTGACTCGAGTGCCAAAGGACTGGGTGCGCGAGCAGAGTGCGGCTGACGGCGTGCCGGCCGAGGCCGCTGCTGTTGGGGCCGAGGACGACGCGGCAGGTGCGGGCGCCGAGGGCGAGCTCGCCGCCTCCGTCCGAGCGGTGCACGAGCGGGCAGGCCATCCCGGCATTCGCCGAACGCTATACTTTGCTCGGCGCGACGTGTCGTGTGATGTGCCGAGGGCGACTGTGCGAGCGGTGGTGCGCGGCTGTGACATTTGCCGCTCGATCGACCCGGCGCCGGTGCGGTGGCGGCACGGCTCTCTCGGTGTCAAGGAGACGTGGCAGCGTGTGGCGATGGACGTCACGCACTACCAGGGTCGGGCCTACCTGTCCGTGATCGACTGCGGCCCGTCGCGGTTTTGTGTGTGGCGGCAGCTGCGGCGGGCGGATGCGGTGGAGGTTTGCGGCCACCTGGAGCAGATGTTCCACGAGCGCGGCGCGCCGACTGAAATCCTCGCAGATAATGACACAGTGTTTCGCGGGCGTCAGGTCGCGGCTCTCACGGCTCGGTGGGGCGTCAGCCTAAGATTCCGAGCCGTGCACCAGCCGGGCGGTAATGGGGTGGTGGAACGGTGCCACCGCTCCATCAAAGTGATCGCGGCGAGGCGGACGTGCTCGGTCGCGGAGGCCGTCCACATTTATAACGTGACGCCCCGCGACGGTGAAACTACGGGCTCGGCGCCGGCCGCGGGCGTCTACCGATACGCCATGAGGGACTGCATCCGCCCGGCAGCGGCCGGTGAGAGTGCTGACCAGGAGCCGCCAGCTGTGTCCGACGGCGAGCAGCTGCGGGTCGGCGACCAGGTGTGGATGCGGCGCCGGGGAACCCGCTGCACGGACACGTCCCGCCGCGGTGTCGTCACCAGCGGTGTGTCGCGGCAGGTGGTTGAGGTGGACGGCGTGCCGTGGCACGTGCGTGACCTGCGGCCGCGGCACGAGAGCCCGTGCCGCGACGATGGCGACGATGCGCAGTCAGATGGCGAGGCGCCGCCGATCATTGTCGACCTCCCGAGTGGCGGCGATGAGCGCCCAGCTGATGTGGCTGCCGACGGCCCTCCGCTCCGCCGCAGCGAGCGCGAGCGGAGACCGCCACGACACTGGTGCGAGTGTTAGGTTGAATCAGGTAGCAGTGTGCCGTACGGCTCGGGCGGCGCCGGCCGGCGGCACAACTGATCAGCTGTGATGTGTGATGTGTTTGTGATTCTATGGAATCAGGGAGCGGTGTGCGATATTAGCTCGGTGTGCGATATTAGCTCGGCGGCGCAGCTGATCAGCTGTGACGATCAGCTGTGCCCTACTTCTGATGGCCTTGGCTTTGCGGCGCCGGTCGGCGGCGCAGCTGATTGAGCGTCGGCTGTCACGCGACAGACCATTGGCTGTGCCGCGGACACGGCCGTGCCGCGCCCGGTGATTGGCCCGGGCCCAGGACGCCGCTCTGTGGCGGCAGTTTGCGCGGGCTTCTCCGCTCTCTTCCGGCTGGGACTTGTGCGAGGGCGGTTGTGTCGGGGTGCGCTCCGTGCAATAAATTACTACAAATTCCGAAAATAAACACCTTACATTTTAAAATGGCACATGCTTGTATTCGCCAAAATATGGCAAAACAGACAGCAGGTGCCACATGGCATGTTAACACTTTGGTTAGTTGCGGCAGCTCCTCAAAGCAGATACTCAATATGAGCGGCCTTTCGGCGGATCAGCTCCAGCACTAGCACAGGCTGCAGGTGACCGATGGTCATGTTGACCATCTCGGAGGGCAAGCAGACAACTTTCCAACGACGCATTACAGTGCTCATGAGTTTTGCCAAATCTTGCACTATAAGCACATGAATTTGGAACAAAAACGGCACGTGCGTTAAAGGGATTATCAGGGTTTGAAAATTGAAAGGAATCGGAATGTATTGCCTATCAGTTAAGTCTCCAGACTCTGCCGATTTCAACGATATACATAAAATGCCTATTGATGCTGTACTTTGCAAGTTATAGCCGTTTGAAAAACGACAAAAATGTACTTATTCACGCAAAACAAGTACTTGAGCGGTCAGATTGGCCCATCACTATAATGTAAACAAAGCGGCCTAGCGAAATTTTGCGGGACTGAGGATTTCTACAAGATTTCGGTGATAGGCATTGGTTGTCGATATACGATGGATTTTTTTGTTAAGAACTCGACTGAAATTGAAACAAATTGAAGATTTGCTTGTCTAAGGCAGCAAGATTTATAAACATCACCAAATTTATCATATGCAATTGGAGCTTGTTTCAGTTTTTTTTATAGCAGGGTCATGATACATTTTTCATTCAATGGTAGATTCGTCATGGTACAGTACAATTTCAATGGTAATTTCGAGTAATTTTTGTCATTAAATTGAAACTGCAAGTACATCCCACAAAAGAGCTTATCCTCTTCAAGTTTCAGTCTTGATCTGACTGATAAGTGATTTGTCAAGAGTGCGAAAAGTGAGGTGACAAGAGAGCTACAGGTTTTTCAAGATTTAAGTGTTCTTGAATAGCAGGTTGTACAACATTGTGCTGTGACATAACCACTGGGCCTTGTGCCCCCTGTGACAGAGCCCCTGCATCAGCTGATCTGACACGGTTGGGCTCGCAAGTTGCAAAGAACGTCTTGGTGCTCTTAATTATGATTGATGATTGTGCTGTGAAAGGAGGGTACCCACATGGCAAAATACATTTGTATGTAATTTCTTGCCACAGTACCCACCTGCATGTACATTTTTGTTGTCTTTGTGTGAAAAATGAATATATTTTAAGGAAAATTAAGGCATTTCTGTTTGAAACATGCAGAAATTGTGTGATGCTGTCCCGGCAACTCATGTGGAACAGAACAGGCTGCAGAGTGCCAGATCGTGCTTGAACAGAGAGAATCATCAGCTATCTACATATGTGCATGCTTTCAAGTTCCCTGCCTTTTCCCACATTCTACTTGCCAGTTGTGAAAAGGATCGGACAAGGCGAGGTACTCATGCTCATGGTGCCACCATGTGCAATTACTGACTGGCGAATTCGGTGGCTAAAAATCATTAACGCTCTATGGATAATTATTCTGCTCTTATGTTCAGTATGTTGATATCAGAAACTCGCCGAGGTATCCTGTCCTGTGGCATTTCTTAGTTCAAAAATGTAAGCATTACACTCATCAGTGATGTAACTTGTATTTACATCCATGAACAAACAATGTGCAAAGGGGCTACCCAACCAGGTACAAGCAGTAGTGTCTACAGCGTAGCGCGTACCGCCTCCGCAGGGGGCGCGCCCCTCTACAATGGGCATGCGCGAACCCCTTCTCTGCAATGGGCGTGCCGGCGAACGTACGCGAGCGATCACGGGTCGCCACCACCAGCTGGCGACTGACGGCGCAAGGCCATAAAACTACGACGGCGGGCCCGGCAGCAGCCGGCGCTCGGCAGGCGCTACAGCGCGCGTTGTGGGGGGGGGGGGCGTTGGACGCGGGATGGGCGCACAGTCGCGCACCACGACCGACGGCGACATCACCTGCTGCGTCTGGCTCGGCGAGCGCAGCTGGGAGCCGGCTGGAACAGACAGAGCGGCGTCACCCGGCGGAGACTGAAGGTCTGGTGAGTCGGACGGGCACCTCCGGCACTGTCGGCAGGGCGGCCGATTTGAGCGCAGCGCTATCCAGTCGGACTGACGGCAGCACAGAGACCAGCTGTCCGTGCAGGCAGTACCGGCGGCCCGAGTCGCTGCTGCTGCGGACCCGGCCCGGTACCGGCGCCGGGTGGTGGCCGGCCGCGGCCGGGAGCGGGTCCGCCGTCCGCTCCGCGTCCCCGGCCGCCCCGCTGGGGTGGCCGGGGAGGTGATCACATCGCGCGCGCGTGCGCACCGGCGATGGGCGCGCGCTGGCCGCCGGTGCCGCCGAAGGGCGCGCGCCCGCCGCCGGTGCTGATGGGATGGGCGCGCTGGCCGCCGGTGTCGATGGACGCGCGCCCGCCGACGGTGCCCGATGGGCGCGCGCTGGCCGCCGGTGCCGATGTGCGCCCGCCCGCCGCCGGTGCTGATGGGATGGGCGCGCGCCGGCCGCCGGTGCCGATGGGATGGGCGCGCGCCAGCCGCCGGTGCCGATGGGCGCGCGCCCGCCGCCGGTGCTGATGGGATGGGCGCGCTGGCCGCCGGTGCCGATGGGATGGGCGCGCGCTCGCCGCCGGTGCCGATGGGATGGTCGCGCGCCGGCCGCCGGTGCCGATGGGCGCGCGCCGGCCGCCGGTGCCGATGGGATGGGCGCGCGCCGGCCGCCGGTGCCGATGGGCGCGCGCCCGCCGCCGGTGCTGATGGGATGGGCGCGCTGGCCGCCGGTGCCGATGGGATGGTCGCGCGCCCGCCGACAGTGCCCGATGGGGGCGCGCGCTGGCCGCCGGTGCCGATGTGCGCGCGCCCGCCGCCGGTGCCGATGGGATGGGCGCGCACCGGCCGCCGGTGCCGATGGGCGCGCCCGCCGCCGGTGCCGATGGACGCGCGCCCGCCGACGGTGCCCGATGGGCGCGCGCTGGCCGCCGGTGCCGATGTGCGCGCGCCCGCCGCCGGTGCCGATGGGATGGGCGCGCGCTCGCCGCCGGTGCCGATGGGATGGTCGCGCGCCGGCCGCCGGTGCCGATGGGATGGGCGCGCGCTCGCCGCCGGTGCCGATGGGATGGTCGCGCGCCGGCCGCCGGTGCCGATGGGCGGCGGGCGCGCGCCGGCCGCCGGTGCCGATGGGATGGGCGCGCACCGTCCGCCGGTGCCGATGGGCGCGCGCCCGCCGCCGGTGCCGATGGGGCCGGCCGCCGGTGCCGATGGGCGCGCGCCGGCCGCCTATCAAGTTTACCTGTCCAGATGTACAGAAAGAATGTTCAGTCTGTCAAATACATGTACAGCTGATATACCTACCCTGTAGCTGCAACTGTTTTGACCATGTGGCCCAGCAAAGTTATCTGGCCTAGGTAATGATTGTGATTCAGGGATGAATCCCTGGGAAGAAAATATAGATGATGGTGCTTCAGGAGACTGAGGAGTGTCGTGAAGAAGCATTCCTTAATTAGTGTTAGTCACCATCCAAGCCATATGACCAAAACACACCACATCAATATTATACCAAAATTATATTTAAAAACTTTTTGGTTGGTTACACACAAGTTTTTTAGGTGACCACACTCAAACACGAGACTACTAGGGTGCCAACGTCACTTGTCAGGCTCAATGCACCAGCTGCTGTTCATACAATTTGCAAGACTCAACATCAGCTATCAGGTTCTACATCACATCAAGTGTTCAATGTAACAATGTTTGTGCCACTTTTACAAGTTGTGCTAAAAACCAGTTCAATTACAAAGGAAATCAAACTCACCTTCCACGACTGCTATTGACGGTGCGGCATGTGGTGACGTTCTAGCCCGTTCTCCAAGCAAAAGATCTTGAGGGTTGAAGTGGCAGCTACACACAAGTGCTTCGTCAACCTGCTTGTCCACCAAGCCATCTTCTAGTTAGGACAGCTGTCAGCTACCCAAGCAAGTCTCCTAAAAACAGCATGACTTTGTGATCAAAGGTCTGGGAAAATTGCAAGGCTTGCTATTCCAGTACAAGTAACAGATAACAAGTAACCACAGATAGTACATTGAGTACTTTAGTTATATGTGTAGATGAACTCCGAGTTGTAGGTTGTAGGTTGTAAGCATGTAGGTTGTAGGTTCGTGGGGGGCTGTAGTTCTTACCTGGTTTCCATATATCTTGATATACACCTCAACCTAGGATGAAGGTAAACAATGGCCATTTCCCTATTTTGCACTCTTTTAAAACTGAAGAAATCCACAAAACAAAATTATGAAAAGAAAGAACACATCTTTCTTAGGTAGAAAAGTGAGATCACATCACATCACACAAAGATACCTGACACTTTTTAGGTACATAAAACATTAACATTTATAAGTTACAACCAACCACGTGTTGAGTCAGGCAAGATATTGTTCGTTGTGTTCGTTGTGTTACGGACCTATGCTATATTTCCCTATTTTGTCTTGGGAAAATATAATGGAGCATGTAATCCATTATATTTTCCCTAGATCCATTATATTTTCCCTAGATCCATTATATTTTCCCTAGAAATA